CCGTTGCTGACTGGTATCTTCGTCGTCGTTGCGTCGGTCTTCGTTAGCCGTCGTTGTGCTGCCACGCCCCGGCTGGCAGAGGGCAGTGAGCAAGTTCTGATCGCCGACTTTTCGCAGTCTGCCTCAGTCCCGCAACAGCCTGCGCGGCCCTTGGTAACCCGGACGACGACCGAGCCGGTATAATTTTCGATGGCGTCAATACCATGAGTTGCAGGTGGCTGAATTTTACGGAGACTTGCCACGGTCTCCAACCCTCTTCCTGTCTCATCCGGGCATGGGACTGGCAATGGCGGAGTTAGAAAATCAACCTTTGTTAAGAAATTATGTTAACACCGTGTTCAATTATTTGCGTCATTTCCAGCTAATACTCAACTATTCTAAAGCAGCTTCTGGTTAGAGGGTCCATAATTGGAGCAGGTATTTGGTGAAAATGTGATAGTCGGGTGAAAAAAGAGACTCTGCTGTTCTTATGAATCTTTTACGCGCATCTGACGAATTGTGGACGTTAATGATATACAACGAAGCCCGAAGCCTTCATGGAAATCCGGACCGTACCACCTTCTTTAGCCCCCATAGTTGTCCTTTTTTAGAATGCTTGCTGATCTTTTATGCCATTTCCTTCTTTTTCTTAGGACCAATCCGTATTGATCAGTCGGCCATAAGGCACTTATGGCCCTAGGGTGCTGCTAATTAGTGTATCTGCGCATTTATCCTTTCAGCATCGCTGTTATTGTGTTCGCCTTTCGGAGCTGTTTTGTGGACAAGTAAAACGACCGTCCTTTTGGGGTTCTGAGTGGGACTGCATCCGGTTTCAGCTGATCGTATCTGGTTGCAAGGTAGTTTTAATTGAAGGTTCACGCGACTTAATCCCATTAGTATGCTAATCACAGACCATGTTAAATGTATTTGTTCTATAGTTTAAATTTAATTTGTTGATCAATTAAATTCACTATTATTTTTGCAGCCGTGAACCACATACAGTAGAGCCTCGATAATCCGGACTGACTGTGATTTGATCCCGTGCGGATTATCGACTTATCTAGATTTTCGAATCTCATAACGAACCTGACATCTTTAGTTCA